AGGTTGTCTCAGATCTACAGGATCTCGACTATATAAAACAATCGTGATAATGGTAAAACCTTCTACTTCCAAAATTTGCTCAGATCGACTGGATCTTGAGCACGTAGAACAACTCGTGCTAATGGAAAAAAGTTTATACTCCAAAATTTGCTCAGATCGACGGGATCTTAAGCACATAGAACAATCGTGTTAATAAGGTGTTATGAATAATTATTCCGATGCTGGGAATAAGCAATACCATTAACACGAAATAGAGGAGAAGGAGTAACACCGCTTTTATTCCATACTCTTGTATCCCTATTAAAGAGAATTGTAGACACATAGATACATGGAGAAGTGAGAGAGAAGAGAAGCTTGTTGGTGTGTCTTTCCTTCTTCCACAGCTTTCCTTTTATAGCCATTGAGTGTAGAGTCCCAATTAATTGAGATGGAGGATGTGTATGATGGACATCCGCTTAATCATAATGATGATCTATAGTGGGTTAGGTCATTAATTAGGTTGGGGATGGTGGTAGTTGGGGTATGTGGGCAATTGACATCCACATATATATATTCATAACAATATTGATATATGTTCAAACTTTTTTCAATCTTTCAAGTTTCTTTTTAACTATCTTAAAAAATTAGTTGAAATTCTCTTAGTGATCTTCATGTATTCATAAACCCAGTATGCTAAAGAAAAAAGTATGCTAGATGTTGATTTAATTCTCAATTCATAAGTGAGTATGTCATTTATTAAAAACAAAATTAACATTTAGCATAATCACTTACAATAATATAATTCTCAAATCATTAACTCATGTAATGGAGATTCATGATGTCTTTATAATCCTTTAAAAAAATAAAAAATTCCTACAAACATTGCAAGATTTAATATGCCTATGAAATTTGAGATGTGGTTGTATTTGTAGGCACTACACACATATTCTTAATGTCTAATAATTGAATGAAGATGTGATTTTACTTGTTAACACTAATTAAACTTTAATCATGTACGTATCACTAAGTTTTTATTTTTATTTTGGCCAGATCTTAAACTACCACGGGCAAAATGATGAGGGAAAAAGCATATTTACAGGTCAAGAAAAATCAGTTTGAAATAATGTACTTAGAAGTTAGAACTTAGAACCATTCTGCAAATGATAAACTATAAGTTATAAAAAAATGATATACTATATAACTATCATTATTATATATCACATCAAAAGAATCAAAAGAATAGTGGAGTTTTACAAGATTTTCGGTATTCAAATTTTCCTGGCTTCCCCTTAATATCCGGAGGGGTATATAAGTCCATCTCAATCTCTTAATTTTCTGTTTCCGCCCAAATGATACTGATTAATTTAATTTAACTCATGTCCAAGTCCACGAGATAACTATTTAGTTGGGCCAGCTATAAAGCTCAAAGCACCTGAAATCCCACTACTGCACTTATTTATGTGGAGATACACCAAACCGTAATTACATTACCTTTTTGTTTTTGTTTTTGTTTTTTTACCTTTCATTTGTAATTCCTGCCCACGTGTTTTGATTACCAAATATGAGTTGTATTTAAGTGATTTTTTTGGGTTACACTCTTCACAAATTATGAAAAGCTAATAACTAATTTCTTAATAATTTTTATTTCTTAGTTTTTTAATTAAGCCATGAACATACAATAACTTATTGAATACCAATATATTTTTTCCAATTAAAAATTCCTTTATATTTTTTGGGTTTATTTCTATTCTCGGTTAAGATTTAGTATTTGTAATTTTATTGATCTATGTGCATTCCAAATGGTTGCATATAAATGTATTTCATTTTCAAAAATTATCTATTTTTTAGCTGATAATATTTGGATGTTATTTATTTAGAGATTGGGGCATTACTCTCTGGTTAAAATGTAGGACTTTGCTACGGTGACATGCATGTCATGGTGACATGCACTTTCCGGTCGACCTCATATAGGATCAGGTCGACCTAATCTGTTGTTTTAGTGTAAAAACAGTTTCATGGTGCCTACTTTGGAGATTCATATCTTACAATTGGCTAGATGAAAATTGGAGATTAATGGCTTGTTTTGAAGCTGAAGTGTCCCTCTACACATTAAAGTACTTGGGAGCTCGATAGAAAGTCTAGAAGACCATTTTTTAACCTGATCAAAAGGCTATGCCAAAACTGGGAAACTGCCTGAAAATGGCCAAGTCTGGGAACGTGTTTGTGAAGCCTACTTTGGAGCTCAATTTGAGGAGTATGGTTGCGATTCGAGTCCAGGGGCCTCTACCACGTCAAATTAGGTATGTTTGTCTACAAAGGAAAGGCATTGGATAAAAGATTGGATATCTTTAAGGCTTCAAACAAAAGGCTCGAAGTTGCTACAAAGGCTATTTTTCTGGCAACTTGCTTGTGTGGTCGACCTGATCCTAAATGAGGTCGACCTGAGCCTAAATGCGGTCGACCTGATCCTAAGTGAGGTCGACCTGATCCTAACTGAGGTCGACCTGATCCTAACTGAGGTCGACCGAAAAGTGCAAGTCACCGTGACATGCATGTCACCATAGGCACACCCTAAAATGTAAGGGTTACTACCCTAATTTGGTCCGAAATTTGGCGTAAATGTCAGTTTTGGCCTGACTTTTCGAATAAGACAGTTGTGGCCTACTTTTAAAAGTATTGGACAAATTGACCCGAAAATTATGTTGACTGTTAAAATTAACAGTCAAATATTGATACCGTCAATGATTCAGTAACAAATGCTGAGGTGGCTACGACGTGGCTGCCATGTCATTTATTTATTTAGCTTGAACGAAAAAATTAAAAAACTGAAAAATAAAAAAAAAACAATCAAAAATGTGAAACAACAAATCCCTAAAATCCAATCTAGGAGTCAGCTCAAATCGACATGTTGGAGAGTTCGTGAAGCGATTGGATCTCCAGGTCATGATCGCAGCGGTGTGTATGATGGTTATGCCGAGCTCGACAGTGATGTCGAGCTTTATGGGCTCGATTAACGTCTAAAGAAAGGGAGGAGGTGGGTGGCGAAGCCGCCGGCGAGGCCGTCGATTGAGGAGAAGTGCCGGCAAAATCTTCAATCCTCCGCTTCCATCTTTATCTGGCAAACAAGGAGAAATGAACCGCCACTTCCATCTTCCGTTCCCCAAAATCCCCCAAATTCCTACTACCTTCCGCCACATCCTTCAATCCGTCTTCTGAAACCTGATCCCAGCGTCAATGGTCTGATTTCTTAATTGCCCAGCAGCAGCAACAACTTATTTTCGTCGTTGGCTCTAGATCTATAGGAAGAAGGCGGCCAACAGTCAAAAAACGAAGGCGATTGTAAAGCCCGAGAGAAGATGAAAGGGTCCTTTATTTTTTAAATTTTAATTTCTTGTTTTTATTTTTCAAAATTTTTAGGATTATTTTAATATAAATGAATGATATGGCAGTCACGTGGCAGCCACCTCAACACTGGATGTTGAGTCACTAGCGAAAAAATCGTTGACCGTTAATCTTGACGGTCAATTCAAAATGCGGGCCAAATTAGTCCAATACTTTTAAAAGTAGGCCAGAAATGTCTTATTCGAAAAGTCGGGTCAAAACTGACACTCACGTCAAACTTCGGGCCAAATTAGGGTATTAACCCAAAATGTAATGGTTAAAGGATAGAGGTTAAAGTTTTGTTGATCCTTTAGTGTTTATAATACTATATAACTTATGTATGTTACTGCCGCACATGAACAAAGCTTATGCATGTGACTTAAATAGAGCCAAATTAGGATTTTTAAATAATAAAATGATGACCATTTTGAAACTAAAGGGAAAAAAACCCAATTATATTGGCTCTAGAATATGTGTATAATATTTGGACATAAAACTATGCATAATTTAATCACACATTAATGAGTAAATCAAGTATAGAGAATGTGTAACAACATGTTGAACTTCACGATTGAGAATAACCTCATACATTATGATGGAAATTTAAAAAAATTTATTATGTTTGTGAATACTATTATTACATGAAGTCTTGACGAAAATCTAAAATTGAAATAATTTATCAATACATGTAATGTATTTAGCCTATACATGTAATGTGGAGATATTTAGCCAATACATGTAATGTAGAGATTTAGTCGTTTTTTTTTTTTTGTTTAAATTGAGTTTCAATATATGTATTTACTTTTTAAGGGCCAACCTATAATCCCTCAAAATGAAGGATTGACAATCTCTTACTAAAGTTGAGATTGTAAATGAAGGATCATATGTCTATCTTTATTCCACTTTTTTCCCTTATATTTTTTGTTTATTCCAATGTTTATTCCAACATTAGCCTCATCCATTGCTCTCTTTGGAGAAATTGCTCTCTTTCCTTGGAGAAATGAGTTAAAGAGAGACAAATATGTCATTAAACCAAAAAGAATAATCTACACCTTCAAACAAGGGATTTTTCAAATACGACCATTCAAATAAACATCCATTAGAATGCACATATTGATAAAATTCATCAATTTAAAGAATCACAACTTCCAAACGATCCCTAAAAATATTCTTATCTTAAAAATCCTAAATGTATTCCGGTCAACTGGCCGGGTCCAAGCTAGTTCTTTAAAAGGGGACGGAAATGGTGGTGAAGCTTGTGAGGAAAAAAATTAACGTAGAAGGGGAAAGATCAGGATAAGTGATAGCGAAAAAAATGAAAAAATAAAAAATAGGAAAAAAGTAAAAATCCGAGATTTACGGGGAGTGCTGGAAATTTTAAGGGGTTGCTAATTGTCGTCCTAATTATAATCGCCCTAACCTAAAAATTACGACTTTATCCTTTCCTTTTTTTATTGTTAAACAAACAATTATTTTAACAAACAAAACTCAATTCACCAATAAAAAAGTTTAACATTTGCAAGTCTTCTCTCTCACCTCTCCGTTTCCCATTCCGGAACAAATACCAAATCATGGAGTCCCGTTGCATGCCGTTAGAGCTCTCCAGCAGGCAATGATCTTTTAATTGGCTTGGATCAAGACTAATTTTTTCCTATATCTCTATATACTCTTGTTCTACTCTTCATCCTCAGCAGATTCATCTCCGCCTCCTGCCTCGCTACTTCCTCGTCAAAATTGTACTGTATTCGCCTCTCGTCTTCCATGGTCAACTCGTACTTGAGAATTTTATCGGCATCCACCAATCCAAGCGAGATCAGGTTGAATCCCGAAGTTCCAATCTTTGCTCTCAACCTAACTTCTCCCGATCGGCCTCCGGCTTCATGTCTTGGGCTTCAAGTACCGAACCAGAGTCGACACATTTATTCAACTTCATTCTTGCGATTTAAAACATCTTTCCTCCTTTGATATGAATCTTCTCGTCTCCTCCTCTGAACTCTATTGATGGAGTAGGAATAAAGAAGGAAAAATCAAGTAGTGATTTAGGGCTTTAGTCATATGGTGTGGAGCGTAGTTATTGGGTTGTTTAATTATTTCATTTGAATAATAGAGGATAATTTAGTAATTTTAATTTTAAAGTTAGGGCGATGATAGTAAAACTAGGGCGACGTTTAGCCATCCAGAATTTTAAATGGGGAAGGTGGTTTTGAGAAACCCCTTTATATATTTTGTAGATAATGAGTTAATAGAATTTTATATCCCTCTACTATGCTAAGTTAACAAATATATCTTTCTATTATTTTTTTTCAATTTCATACCCCTTTATTATTACAGCGTAACAAATGTACCCTTCTGTCACTATTTCGTTAGTTGACCGTATGTAAAATGACTATATTACCCTTCTATTTCACTTAGAATATAATTATTTTTCAATAAAAACAGAACTAGTTATTTAACTATCTTTATCTACAGCAACTCAGCCGCCAACTGCTCCATTGGCCGCCAACTGCAGAGGCGTGGCCGCCGGGGAAGGCGGGCATCTGGTTTGCTGTTGGCTGGGGTTAGTTTAGGGTTTGATTTAATTTTTAAATAATTTGAGACTAGAAAATAATTAAAATGGAATTAGCAACAAATGGGGGTAATTGGTTTGTAACTCATTAAACGATGACTAGACGGAATGATAAATTTATTATGTTTTAATATTAGAGGGGTATATTTGTGCCAAAATTTAGTAAGTGGCACGTTTGTTAATTTGCAATAGTAGAGGGGTACAAAATGATACTAACTCATCTATAATCTATCTATCTATCTACCTATCTATCTATCTATATATATATAACTTATATTATGGTTGTTTTGGAGCGATCTTTTGTCACATAGGATTTAGCAAGCTCCACAATTTTCCATGTCACATTTTATTATTTTTGTTATTTCATAAACTTTCATGTTCTACTAACCTAAAAAATATAATAAGATATATAATCATCATCACTAAGATGAGTATCTACAACCTGTGAAGTCCAAATTCATATGATTTAGAGTGTCTGGCCTTATCCTCCTTTAGTAGGTCGATCTCGCTGGCTTGTGTGCCTACTTCCTTCGAAAGCGCTTCCTTCTCAGACTCCAAGGCCGAGAGCTTCCCTGCAAACTCCTTACGTTCGGCCTCCATTAGCGCCACGAACTCGACTTGGCATTTCCATCGCTCCTCGTCAAGTGTGGTCTGCAGGCGCGACACTTTTTTGCAGCCTCCATTTGTGCTTCTTCGCACTCCTTCATCATTTGCTCGGGACGCATGTTATTTTTCGCGAGATCATCATTAATTTTTGACGGCATGTTAGCGACGCATGTTAGCTATCGCGAGATGGTTCAGTACCTTGGCGCCCACTTGACGAGCTCGACAAAAGATGATCGTCGTTAATTTTCGACAGCACTTGAAACATCTTCACCGCATATATAGCCAAACACATGGCACAAACTCAATCAACGGCGACACGAAGGGAGCAGGGCAATATGGTCGAGCTCCGTCCGAATGGGCTCGAAAATCGCGGGTGTCCGTCAGGCCCTACAAGGCGCCCTTCCTAGTCCAAACCCACCAAAGCGCATGTTTGCCTACCTTGTCGCGTGGAGGCAACCTTCCCCTTTTCATTGTCACTAGGTTGAGCTTTCTTCCCGACATGGGGCAACGGGGCGCCCGTCCTCTTCTCGCAGCGCACCAAAGGAGGATCTTCCTTGTCCAATTGCTCCTCATGAACGGTGAGGTCGCAGACCGAATCCGCCATGTCCATGTCGGGGGCCAAAGATGCAACACTCACATTCTTCTCATGGACAGGCGTAATCCTGTGTTCAGCATCAATGAGGTTTTTTCGAGACCTTTCGCTTCTTTGGAACGATTAGGGAGGGTGCCTGCGGGTTTTTAGTAGCCGAGGTTGCAGGTGCCCCGGCAGTCATCTTCGCAAGCTGATATAATCCCAAATAGCTAGCTCTACATGTTTAAATTACTTGGCGAAGTCAAAATCCGAGTTCATGGTACCTACTTTAGAAGCTTGTATCTCACAAATGGCTCAATGGAAATTGGGGATCAAGAATTTGTTTTACAGATAAAGTTTCCATCTTTCCAATGGTATGCTTTTTTGGATCCAGAAGATGTCATTAAGGTTGTTTTCCAAGGCCTCAAAGTTGCTACCTCAAAACTGGAAAATTGCCAGAATTTGGCTAAGGCAGAAACTGTGTTCAAGAAGCCTACTTTGGAGCTCCATTTCAGAAGCATGGATGAGATTCGAGTCCAGAGGCTTATACCACATGAAAGTAGGTATGTTCTACTACAAAGACATGGCATTGGATGATTAGAAGCTTACCTGGAAGGCCTTGATCAAGAGGTTCAAAGATGGCATCAAAGCTGTTTGGTTACTTGGAGCTAAAGGCAGATTTTCTTTTTCTTGTTTAGTTAGGATTTCATTGTTTTGGTAGTTTTTTATTCCTTTTCGTATTACACTGTAATTAGGAGTTTATGGAACATGTGTAACCCTAGCTAGGCCTATTTAAGCTTTCTATTTTGTTGTAAAACACAGACTTTGTTGAATAGAAATCGAAACCGTTTGGTTTGTGAAAGTTGCGACTTGTTTTGGGTTTGGTGGATTCCAAACTTGGTGAGCTTGTGTATCGATTGAATAGTCAATTCAATTGTGGTTAAGCAACTACCCTTTTATACCAATAGAGCTATCCCCAGGTGTGGATGCGTCCTTTTGGTTTCGTTTTATCCAAGTTCGTATTAAGGACGTTTTGTTCTTGATTCGAGTTCAATCGATTCTTCTATTGAATTGTTAGCTGCATTACTTTGATCACATACAACCCCCCCCCCCCCCCCCCAGGGTCGTATTACAAGATAATTCTTCATCAAGTTTGCGATGGTGGAAAAGTTGGACCCTGCACAAAGCAAAAGGAGCTGATCAGAACCAACGAGCGCCAAATGATAATAAGACAGTCACGACAGGAGCCCTACACACAGTCATTGTAATACTCAACCAGAATAAGTGGGCGCTCGGCAGTCAGGCGAAGGTTTATAGGGTTTGCACATATAAGCTCGGCACCCCTAGTTTTGTCGAGTATAAGGGAACATCGATGTTAAAGTTCCCACCATTGCTAAGTTCCCAGTCAGTTAGGAAGGCGCTTCCACTCTCGAAGAAGGCGTCTCGATATGCCTTTACAAAGAAGAACCCTTTGAACCAACTTCTCCCTAACTTGGGACACTTAACCTAAAAATTGTATGGGATCTTCGTTCGCTTCTGTAAGAATAGGCAATTATCGAGGTCTCACATTGTGCACCCTACACTTCAACTTGAACAAGATCACCACTAGAATGACGAAGGGTGATAGGCGCCCTAGGGTACAGCCGCAGCTTGCCAAAATCCCCTCAAAATGGGGTCTACCTGGAGCCGCAACCCAAAACGAAAGTATTCTTGGTAGATTCCTATCCACTTGGGGCCGCACAGCCCAACCCGGGCAATAGGAGAGGCGGGTGCATACCAACAATCGCGGGTAGTTGTAGGCTTGTAACCAGTTCCGTCACCCGCGCCAAGGACACAGTCTATTGATGCTTCGGTCCGGTCACGTCGAATGGAATTTTCGATGTTTCAATGGGCACATGGTCTGGGGAAATGGTTTTCTCCCACATCGTGATCTTATAGGAGTCGTCCGCGGGCATGAAACCTGTAGCAGACGAGGTTGGCGTTCCAGCAGACCATGGCGCCCTCTCTAGAGAAAAATTCGAAGCACGCACACAACCTCAAGGCGAGGTAAGAGGCGCCCACGCCTCAAAGAAAAACTAAGAGAAAATGTTCAAGAAGATTAGTGACAACAGCAGGGTCGAGTAGGGCGCTTACCACGATTTGCTGGGGCGCCTTGTGCCTGGGCGGAGCTGGCACCGTCGGTTTGGTCTTGGGGACTATACATGGCAAGGAGAATCGACCAACGAAAAGGAGGGCGGCGGCGGCAGCGTTAGGCGAGCACTAGAGAGAAGTTAGAGAGCGGAAGTGTTTTAGGGAAAGTGTGATACAAATTAGAAGGGAAGAAAATATTTATAAGAGATAGGGAGACGTGTCTTGAGATTCGCGCTTGATTGCCACGTGTAGCCATCACGACCGGACGTTTGAAATTCAAATTTGGAATTTCAAATTGTGAAATTCAAATCTCTGGCCTGGGGGGGCAGGGGGTCGCGTATCTAATAAAGGGGGCGCATTGATCGGCGATGATAAATAATCTCGTAACCATGACGCCCATGTGCTTCGAGTGAGGGCACCAAAGATTGAGGCGCCAACGACAAGAAAAAAGGGGTATTCGGCATATGCCTAGGCTAAAAGGAGCCGGTCAAGGTGCAGGCCACCGTTGGTGAGTCAGGCACCCATGATGGGAGTACAAGCACGCGCAGACCGCTACGACGAGAGAAGACGACTGAAAGGCCAAAGAGGGTCAGGAGCCTGCAACAAGTGAATTGTTAGGTGTGCGCAGAGTGGACGGGCACTATTGGGCGGCGCCTAACATTTGAAAATGTAAGGGCGCCTAGATTGGCCAGGTGCTTCAAATGAGGGCACCAAAGACTGAAGTGCCAACGACGAGAAAAAGGGGTTATTCGGTAGACGCCTAGGCTAATAGGAGTCGGTCAAAGGTGCAGGCCAACATTGGTGAGTCAGACACCCACGATGGGAGTACAAGCACGCGCAGACCGGTACGACGAGAGAAGACGAGTGAAAGGCCAAAGGGGGTTAGGCGC